GCTTTTCTTTTCGCAATGGCTCAAAAAAGAAGAATTACTCAAACTCAATTCTTATAGCTAGTATCTTCTTCTTTATCAAAAAAGACATGATCATCATTCATCATCAAGCCAAAGATTAGAAGAACGAGGCAAAACCGCAAAAGTGACGAAAGAAGAAGATCCTCAAGGAAGAATGTTTCGATGAGCATATTCAAAAGTGCGAAAGGTTGTTTTGAGGCAAATTGGTGAGGCAAAATTCAAAGGAAATTTTGGTGACTTCAGGCATTCTTGTTGCAAAACGCTTAATGGGCTTGGTGATAATTGTTGGCCCACTTTCTTTATTAGATAGATACTAAATCTATTTTACCCTCCAAAGTATACAAAAAATGTCTCGTTTAATAATAACACTTGCTTCATGAGACCATGAGTATAAATTATTTGCATCACACTGCTGACGTAAAAAGAACAAAAGGAACAAAACTGCTGAGGTAAAATTTATGATTATGATGGTTGGACTCTTGCCAACACAGCAATAAATAGGAAATTTTTTTTTTGACAAAAATCTAGAGGAAACTTATTTGTATTCCCTTTCTTGTATGGCACGTCACAAAATTGATCGAGTACAAGTTACTCTTTCGTTATGATGATCTTTTAACGATCTAATAAATAGACAATAAAACATAAATTGTCGTGGTACGATCATATGTTGGTGGACTGTCACAATCACAAGCAGAAAAACAATTTTGCTCCAAAAAATTATTAATATTCCACCTTACAAAAAAATTATTAATATTCCACCTTAATTGCAAGGTTATACGAAGATATATAAATTTATTTATGTTCCCACGACCAAACGAGTAAGTACTTATTTAAATTAGATGAAAAGGTATCAATTGGAGGATAAATGTTACTTAATCTATTGTTATTTATAAATGTTAATAAATCAAAACAATAAGTGTTATCTGTATTTAAGTTGGGTTAATTTGGTGAATATTCATATTGAGAGTTGATATTAACAATATAGCCATAGCAATTCTTTGGCTATAGTACATGAATACATTCATAAGTTTTACCATAATTACCCCCTTAATAAACTTATACTATATAGAAAAATTAAATATACTTAGCTCTATTTTAAACCCAAAATCCATAACCCTATACCCTAAACTATAAATGTAAACCTTAAATAAAAAAATTATAAACCCTAAATCCAATAAACTAAAACCTAAACTCAATAAACTAAACCATAAACCAACAAACTAAACCCTAATTTAGAAAAAGAACCCTAACCCCAAAATAACCCTAAACTCAAAATACTAAACCCAAAACCACAACTAAAACCCCAAAAAATTGAAACCAAAATCCAAAAATATAAATCTGAAACCCAAAAACTAAACCCTAAATCAAGAAACTAAACCCTAACCCCAAAAAACTAAACCCTAAACCCAAAAAACTAAACCCTAATTTAGAAAAAAGAACCCTAACCCCAAAATAACCCTAACTCAAAGTACTAAACCTAAAACAAAAAATAAAACCCCAAAAAATTGAAACCAAAATCCAAAAATATAAATCCTAAACCTAAAATCTAAACCCTAAACTCAATAAACTAACCCCAAAACACAAATATTTAGTTCGTACTATTCCATATAAACAAAGAACAAATAGTATAGAGTAGTTTCAAGGTTAATATGGACAATATTTCAGAAAATATGGCTTGTATTCTAACCATGGTTTTGATATGGTTACTTTGTTAATTTGCTTCTCCAATATGATTATTCATTATAATTTCCCATTTAAGTTCCCATGTATTCGCATATTCTTTGGTTGATAAGACATTATAAGCATATTCTCTTTTATATCCCTTGCATTAGTCGTGCATTATATTATCTTTGTTGACAATCTTCATTTCATGTTTCATGTCTGTTTAGAACTCACAAGTAAGTCTCAATTCCTTATTTAGCTCCAACAAAATGACTATTTAAAAGAAGAAGAAGAAAAATGAAAAAGGAGAGAAAGAAAATATGTTTAAAGGTTAAGTGCCTTCAATTTCAAATGAGAAATCCATCAGGTGAGAATGTCAGAAAACGGAAAAGACCGTACACCAAATCTTAATTTGCTAAGAAGAAAAACACTAAAAGTTACAATTTTTTTTTATCATATAAACTATCCTAATAAAATGATAATTGTCTTTACCACAAATGATAATTGTCCAGCCTTCACTATGCTAACAAAATCGGTAAATTTTTAATATTCCTACAACTTCTTTTTACGAGTTGACGTTATACAAATTGAATTGGTAGTAACCATGACGTGATATATATGATTTGCCGTTTACTTCCTCATCTAAAACTCTTCTTCAAAATCTTCAATCTTTACATATACTTGTAAGAGTACATATGTTAATTATGTGAATATATATAATGTGTGTTGGTGTATATAAATTTATAAAGCTACGCACTCTTTCTTTCTCCTCAAACATTTAACAGTCACAACAGAAAAGAAACAGAATGAGCTCAGGATCATATCCGATCAAAACCGTCGTCGTTCTGGTCCAAGAGAATCGCTCTTTCGACCATACGCTCGGCTGGTTCAAAGAGCTAAACCGGGAAATCGACGGCGTCACGAAATCAGACCCGAAATCCAACCCGGTTTCCACCTCCGACCCAAACTCTCTCAGTGTTGTCTTCGGTGACCAGTCTCAGTACGTTGATCCGGATCCAGGTCACTCCATTCAGGATATCTACGAACAAGTGTTCGGTAAGCCATGGGACTCGGGTCAACCGGATCCAAATCCGGGTCAAGCTACCATGTCCGGGTTTGCCCAAAACGCGGAGCGAAACTTGAAAGGAATGTCCTCCGCAGTTATGAACGGATTTAAACCGGACGCTTTGCCGGTTTACAAGGAGCTGGTTCAAAATTTCGCCATATGTGATAGGTACGTGTACGTCGGTTCGCTTCACACCGAACTCTAACATTTTCAGTTGTCTCGGTTTGTAGAAAATTTCATGTTCTTAATCTTATGTGTTTGCCGGCAGGTGGTTTGCGTCGGTTCCGGCGTCGACGCAGCCAAACAGATTATACGTCCACTCGGCAACATCACACGGAGCAACGAGCAACGACCGGAAACTACTAATCGAAGGTTTTCCACAGAAGACGATATTCGAGTCGCTTGATGAAGCTGGTTTCACATTTGGCATCTACCACCAATTTCCTCCTTCTACTCTCTTTTATAGGTACTTTTTATTGTTTTTAAAATATTTATTAATCTTCTATAAGTTTTTCTTTCTTTTTCCTTATGCTTTTCACTTACTCCTTTTTAACAAAAAAATTGTTAAAGGTTTCGATTTTTATCTTTCATTTCGATATATGTAAACAAGAACATAGTTTTAGTCAAATTTAGACTTATTTCCGTTTAACAACCGTCTAAATTAAGTTTGAAAAATTTAAAGATAACTGTATAAACATAGGAAACATAAATTAATATTTTTACCAAAAAAAAACATAAACTAATATTTTTTATTTTATTTTTTATCCAGGAATTTGAGAAAGCTGAAGTATTTGACGCATTTCCACCAATACGGAATACAATTCAAGAAAGATTGCAAAGAAGGGAAGCTACCAAACTACGTCGTGGTCGAACAACGTTGGTTCGATCTATTGTCAACTCCTGCAAACGACGACCATCCATCTCACGACGTTTCCGAAGGTCAGAAGCTTGTGAAAGAGGTCTACGAGGCCTTGAGATCTAGCCCTCAGTGGAACGAGATCTTATTCATTGTAACATATGACGAGCACGGTGGATTTTACGACCATGTCCCTACTCCGGTCGACGGAGTTCCTAATCCTGACGGTCTCTTAGGACCTCCACCGTACAATTTTGAATTTAACCGGCTCGGTGTTAGGGTTCCAACGTTCTTCATCTCTCCTTGGATTGAGCCTGGCACTGGTAAGTACTAGTTAGGGATATATATATAAACTTCATTTGATGGTATATTATTCAGAATGCTAATATATTTAATATTGGTTCGATTTATGTAACAAGTACTAATAATTCTTGTAAAATGTGTAGTTATTCATAGGCCGAATGGACCGTACCCAAGATCACAATATGAGCATTCATCAATTCCCGCAACTGTCAAGAAAATCTTCAATCTGAAAGATTTCTTGACAAAGAGAGACTCATGGGCTGGTACTTTTGAATCTGTAATTACAAGAGATTCACCAAGACAAGACTGCCCTGGTATATTTTCGTATCTTCTATCAAATTTTGTGATTATTTCGAACATGACATATATATAATTATGTTTGGTTATCAGAAACATTATCAATCCCGGTTAAACTAAGATCGACAGTGGCAAAAGAAAATTCACAACTGAGTGAATTTCAAGAAGAGCTCGTAATAATGGCTGCTGGATTAAAAGGAGACTACAAAAATGAAGAATTGGTCCACAAGCTTTGTAAAGAAACTTGCGTTGCAGACGCTTCCAAATACGTTATGAACGCGTTTGATAAATTTCTAGAAGAGGCTAGAAAGGCAAGAGAAAGAGGATGTGACGAGGAAGAGATCGTTTATTGCGTGGATGAGGATGATCATCATCATGTTTTGATACCATCACCATCACAATCAGAAGTACCACATGCTGCTCCTAAGACGTCCTTTTTCAATAAGTTAGTCTCTTGCTTTGTTTGTCATGATTGATATACGTATAAAATCAAATCAAAGTAGATAAATTTAAGTTTTTTTTTATTTGTGTGAGGGATAACCTCCAACGTAATGTGAAATTTGTGTTGCTTTATTAAAGAAAGTAAACTAAATTAAAACATTAATAAAGTTTCGTAAGTGTAATCTAAACTCAATAGTATCACTATTATTTTATTTTAATAAATCACAATTACTTAATTAAATTTAATTACTCTAAAGAAACTTGTACCAATTTATACATAAACACATGTCATCAGAGTATTTCTAGAGGTTATCGCGATATTTCATTTAAGAACCTCTAGCCAAACTTTGCTTGACTTTACGTACGTACTCTAGAGCTAGGAAAAGAATGTGCAAGGAATGTGTAAATCAAGTTCATGCTCATCTGTCGCCACAAATCCATTTGCATTTTGCACTGATCAAGCCCATCTAGAGCCGCTGTTATCATCTCCGAAATATTTCTCTGCAGAACACCAAAGCAAATCATTAGAAATAGTGCAAAAACACAAAAGCAAATCATTAGAAATAAGATGAGATAGAGAGACAAACATACCAGGTTTTCAGCGCTAAGTATTTGGAATTGTATCGATCCAATCCTCTTCACCTCCGGCTGTGAAGGGACGGCATGACAGACGACGGAATTAGGGTCGGAGAATCTGACATGGAGGATGAAGAAGACGGGGGTAAATTTGTCATTTTCCCGTTTCATTAAAGCCAGAAAATGAACAACTAGAGAACTGCGAAGGAGAGGATTCGAATCCGGTATTGTGAGAGTGGAAGCGGTCCACACCACTAGACTACTACTTATTCGTTGATTTAATGCGCTTGTTTAATACTCCCTCTGTTTCAGAATGTAGGATGTTTTAGTTTTTTTTCTTGTTTCATACTCCCTCCGTTTCAAATTAGTTGTCGTTTTGGGAAAATGTATCTGCAATTATTTGGATGTATCTACAATGCAAAACACGTCCAGATACGTCCAAATTTTTGCAGATACATTTTGCCAAAACGACAACTAATTTGAAACGGAGGGAGTAATATAAGATGTTTTAGATTTGTTTAAGGTACTTTTTTCAATTAATGCTAACAAATTGCAAACTTCAAGAACTATTTATTAAAAGTTTCAATTCTTGAATTTTTATTGGTTAATACTTATTAAAAGTGGTTTATGTGGGAGAGAAAATGCATTAATTACTGAACAATAATTATTTCTTAATTTGTGTGAAATCTCTAAAACATCATACATTCTGAAACAGAGGGAGTATATAAACCCATAAAAAGAACAATTTGTTTTTTAGTTGTTACAATACAAGAGATTTTCTGTTGTAATTAATTAGGTAGCAAACCCGCGCGTCCAACGCGCTCAATTAAATTTCTTTTTAGAAAATTAAAATAAATTAATAATATTTTATGCCAAATTAAATCTGTATTTATAAAATACATTAGATAGCATTTTTTATTTATATATATACATTATTTTTAAAAAATATATAATATGAATTATATAATTCATTCTCGGTTAATTTACATTATTATATTAGAATGTCCATTTTGTAAGCATATTTGAAGTTTATAACCAAGGGTTTTTATTTATAAGAATGGAGTAACTAAGATATACAATAGCTTGAAGTGAAAATGATATCCTGCTCTTTACAGCCAAGTTCTTGCATAATTGATGAAAGCCAATACGAAAAGCTATATTTGCAGTTCATAATTTAAAAAGTTCACAATTTTTTTTACCTGGTTGAAGTGATAAATGTGTCTAAATTCAGAGCCATTCCGCCAATACCACTACTTTCCAAAACGTTACACAAAAAATGTTTTCCAATAAAGACATAATAAGGATATGAATCTGATCAAAGTCATTTGAAGAGTGTTAAAACTCATTTTTATTCTCTCTAACGAAAATGCCTTCTTGAAACCTAACACGGTCACATCACTTTTGGAGTAATACTCAGTCCCCTCAATTATTTTTGTTCTACAAACAAAAATTCAAAGAGGAGAAAAAATCAGATTAAACATTAAGAACAAGAACAAGAGAGAAATTAAGAGATAGAAAGAGAACATGTTGCTTACAATTTTCCCCATCTAGCGATAGAAATTTGTGTCTTTGCCTCCACATTGTTCTCGTTAACAAAAGGGAAAACATTTTTTTTTCGTTCCATAACAAAGAGAACATTTTGCTGACCAAAAAGTGTATGCTTAGTCTTTTAGCCGAGAAACGACATCACATAATGCCCATGTGTTTTAAATATTTATTCATCTTAACGTGGAAGTGAAGCCCATATACAATGCCTCCTTGCTTTGCAATCATATCATCACCATCCCGTTGTCTCGATATGGCCGAGAATAAAGCCCCAATATGATGAGTTTTTGAACTAAGGAGGTTGTCGATGAGAGCACCATATATCTTTCTCTTTTGCATCCATTCGTTCCGTCATGCTATTCAGGGATCCCACCATATCATCAATGAGATTTAATCCAAAACGATGATAATATGAACGTTGGAGGAATTGGGTTTTAACAAACTGTCCAAAGAATTACAATTAAACTAATCCAAATTCTGGAAAAGGCACATGACACAAAATGTATAAGTTACGAACATTCATAGGAATTGGGTTTTAACAACCTTTTCGTTACGAACGGTTGCAGCTTTTCATGTCAATGAGTATATACGTTACGCTCTTTTGTAATTGTAAAGAAAGCATGATAAAAAGAAAATTTCCATGTCACTGGTGAAGGATCATATGAATTTTCTGAGAGAAAATAAAATATTGAAGCTTTATTGACGTAAGATATGTCCTACAACTAACATAAGTGGTGCATATGTGTTTACATTCTTCCCCACTCTCCGTTGATCCATTCGAAACATTTGCCAGCGTATTTCAACTTCTCGTTTGTACACAAGTTCCAAGAAAAAAGTTATACACGGGCAAAAGAGAAAAAGCTCCTATCAGTTTCTCCAAGAGCGTAAATTAACTCTGTCACCTTAACAATTATCAGGAGAAATAATTAGACAAAAAAAACTTAGTTACCATATTATCAACGGAAATAAATTTGATTGGAATGTTGCTACCTTATATAAGTATCACCCATTACAAATCACACTATAAGTCTCCATGACAAACTACAATGACAAGTTCCTGCCTTGAGGTCAGATAAAAAAGCTCTACCAAACCTTCAGTGACAGTGACAGAGAACTCCATATTTATGCAACATACTTCTTAAGACCGGTGCAAACATGGTTTAGTCATCCAACTTACCACAAGATCTAATGATCGTGCACAATACTTAAAATGACATGAAAATCATCGGCAGAAAGTGAATAATTTCCGTGTATCAACTTCAAAGGCAGAGATGACGATCCCTGCCTTTCTCCTGAACGACATGCGTCAACAATCTGCACCTGTACGATCTTCCTAGTCGTACCAATCAAAGTCGTAACACTACGAGAACAAGAACAAGCAACCCCATTATCAATTCCACTTTGTCCCCGTCCCTAAAGTCAAACCCAGTAATCAAGTTACATATTCTTTACAAACAACGAAGAAATTAGTAGAAGAAATGAGTGAGAAACATAATTTTACATCGAAACAGAGGGATGCTCGTAAGAAAGGAGACCACAAAGACGATGAGGGAATGAAATACGGCAAATCAACAACTTCTAAAACAAACGAAATGGACTGGTAACTGGTGATTGTGATTCACGTTTTTGCAGATCGGACAATAGCAAGAATAATACGATAATATCATATAACGATGGACAAAACTGCAAAAACTATAATAACAGAGGGATAATGGTGCAGGCGAAAGGAGACCACAGAGAGAAAGAAAAAGGAGAGTCCAACTGATAGGTTGATTGAGAATCGCAAATCTGTAAACTAACAACGACAATTCTGAGGGTTTGAGAGTGAGAATTAAATCAAAGACTATTGCAATGGATTCTATATATAGATTGTGAAAAGATGCTACATTATTGTTTGCAATTGAAGAGACGCATTCGTTAATTCGTAGGGCAAAAGAGACGACCTTCTATGATTGCACCTATCTACAACTGACACCTTTTCGGTAAACTTAGAGCATGGTTAACGCAGAGCGCTAATGGGGGTGCTTAAAATGTATTTTATCATTAAAATTGTTGTAAGCATTCTATTAAGAGTTCTCTGTTTTTTTTTGCTCCAATGGGAAGATCTTATTGGGGTGCTTAAGAAACAAAAAAATGTAAACTGTTTTTGCAAGTAAACTAACTGCGGTATATTTAATATCTTGGCAAGAGCCTGCAACCATGAAGCTCAACAATCCAATTTGTAGTATGTCACAGCTTCTGCAGAATCCAACTCACCTATAAAGCCAAATTTCTCAATTGAATTTGTAGTATGTCACAGCTTCTGCAGAATCTCAACCATGAGGTTCTTGTTTCTTTGCTTTCTGAGATTCCTGCTTCTTCACTCTCTCCGGATGTCTTGGTACCAACTCTGCAACTTTCTGCAAAAGTTACTTCCCTGCAAATATAAGAAGAATATCAATTTACTGCAGGAAACATGTAAGCGATCACTCTTCCATGGGCATGAGGAGAAGATCAATGTAACACAAATATCTACAGAACAAACAATTTGGACAAATGGTTGAAGCTTGTTATTTCTGCGTATGAAGGTCTATCTAGCTATACAGAAGCAACAGTATCAATGCACACACAAAACATCAAAAGTCCTGGAATTTGCCAAAAAAGTACTTTGATATAAACAAGTTTTTGTGACACATATCTGCATCATTCACGGATTGCTCTTGTGTTTTATTTCTGTATTATGCTAACATTATTATAACAAACATAAACGTCTAAGTCAGATAAGCCTCACAGCCTAATTCACAATCATCCCCACACCGTTACCATTAACAATCTGAAGTAACTCCACTACATAAACATGTAACTAAACAGTGAATAAACAAGTATAAATGTATTTATCAAATCCTCAACAATCTTCTTTAGTTCTTCACCCTTTAAACAGATAAAAAAACCATACAACGACAAGAATGATGGGAACAACAGGTGCATAATGTCTTAGTTCAGGAACCCATTGAGATAATCAATCAACAATCTGATAGTTTCGCTACAATTCCAACAACATCCTATATAAGCAAAGGATTTCAATTCATGTAATTGATTTTTGTTTTTCCGATTCGATTCAATCTAGCGAAAGCACAAGATTTTTCAGGGAGGGGCGTGTACCAATGGAAGACATAGACGCCTGGTATGAGAAGAGGTGAGAGGGAGGAATCGAGACTCACCACCGTGAAATTGCGACGCCGGATATTTGAGAAACCAATTGTTAGCGAATCCAGAATCGAGTGAACTCAGAGTGGGAAAATCTTGTATCGCCATTGGAGACGGGAAAGAGAGAGAAGAGAGAGAAGCGAGCAAGAGTTTTTTTTTTTCTCATTTTCACCCAACGAATCGTGAGCTGCCACGTGGTATCAAGCGGCGACGCTTGTAACGTCTAAACAAGCGTCGAATTCTCAGTTTTAATTTAGTTTTGATTTATTTAAATCGAAATTTGGCTTAGCGCTGCATTAAGCGCTCTGCGTTAAACATGCTCTTACAGCTATTGATTGGAGTTGTTTCTCTAATTAATCTTGACCGTTCGTTACAGTAAGTAGATTGAATCTACACCGTTAAATATTCTTTTTGTTCCTTCAAACAAATGCTGACGTCATCAAAAACTTAAACTGATTTTTTGAACTAATCGTGACCGTTGATTAGAATAAATAGATAAATTCTAAACCGTTGGATGAGTTTTTTTTTTCCTACAAAAAAATGCTGACATAAGAGATTCCAAAAAGTGAGTTTGCTATTATATATTGATTTTATAATTTTATGTTGCGCGCTAAACAAACCAAAAATCTCTTGTATAACAACTAAAAAAACAAATTGTTCTTTTTAAAAAATAGCAAACAATTTGTAAAATCTCTTATTATTTCTCATATTGAAACGTATCTTTCAATTTATAAACTATCCTCTTAACATAAAATCTATCCTCTTAACATAAAATCTAGTCAGTGTTTATAAAATCTTTCAATCTAAACTTACCAATTCAATAGCCAGTTGTAGACCAAATTACTCTCCCTCTCAGTGTTTTAATCATAAATATCTTCTGGCACGGATGCCTTCACAAAGACAAAATTAAACTCATGATTTAGGAACCAAACTCATGTTTTCGAACTATATATTAATTTTGGATCGAATCAATTATATGGATTCCATATCAATGAAAGAATGTTCAACATAGATCCAAACAGCACATGAAAACCACTAAACTACAAATAGTTCGTTTTTGGCTAGATTCATTTTAATGAACACATGACAAATCAGGAGAACCAGCAGAAAAAAGTTCTAGCGTGGAGACATTCAAGCTTATAACTTATACGGTTATACCAGCCAGCTCATTCCCTAACCTAAAGTCAATAGATGGATCATTCCAACAACCTAAGCAGCAATCATTTTTCTTAGCATTTTCCAACTATAAGTTGCACACGTAAAAACCAGATGCATTCATCTACTGAGATCCAAACCCAGACTACTCATCATGGATACCAATGGGATTGTTGTCGTTGAATGGAATAATATTCTTTAATTAGAAAGCAAATAGACAATGAGAAAGAAGAGAGACAAAGATGATATTATTATTAAATCACAAAACGATCATTCAGTGAGAGGCAATACGTTTTCGTAGTCCTCCCTCTGATAGTGAACGCAATCTCCATCTGATGTTTTTCTTCCAACTTGGTCCACGTAAATACGTGCGTCGGCGATTCCCTCCCTCCCTGAAAGATGAACATCGTCAACCTCTTATCTGCGTTTGTTCTTTTCCTGCACTCCATACAGGCTTTAGCTTTGAGACGATACATCAAACTAACAAGAGGCCTTTTCGGGGGCGGGGGCGGGGGTAGGGGTGGAGGTGGGGGATCTCTGTAGAGATCAGCTAAGTTGGTGATAATTCGCGTACAAGGAATGGTCGGCCGTGTTCCTCGAATAGGCGTAGGGGAATAGTGTAGTATTAAATCTGCCCAGAGCATAGCGCATTCCAAACAAAGCTCTACGCACTCAACACCTTGCTGTTTCCAAAGAAAGAGCCATCGTTTTGACAAAACACTCGTTGCCACAGCATCTTTTGCCGGAAGCAACGACCAAATCTTCAGCAATAAATCGTCGGGCAAGTCGCTAATGTTTATCATATTCCTTTTGATACTTCTCATACTGAAGACTGTTCACTGAAACATCAAACACCTTTCAGTAATCAAACAAAGTTTCGTTTTAACAAATACAATCACACAACACAGATAAAGGCCAAACCTTCCTAGCTTACGTGTGACTGGCCAAATAAACAACCCTAATTCTCAGAGACTTTTGTTTTTAATGTTTTTTTCAGTTTGGTGAACCATCAAATATATAGCTATTGATTTCCTAATTATTTGGTTCTCCTTTTTCAACTATGAGAATGAACGATCTCAATTTCGCGATGAAGATTTACTTCCTTTTTTTTAACACATTTCCTTTTTCGTTTCTTTTTTTTTGGTATTCTCCTATTCTTTTTGACTAGCGTATCCTTGAGGATTTTTCAATGTTATTAGTTTATTATAATTTATATTTTAATAACAACAAATATCATTTAATTTCCTCTTTTTTCTTCTTCTTCTGAATTGCTGTAAAATCCAATAACTCTATCTTCTCTCTCAGAATCAAACCTTCCTTCCGTGTCACGAAAGCCAAGTAAACAACCCTAATTCAGAGAGACTTTTGATTTTTTTTTTTTTATGTTTTTCAGTTCGGTGAACTATCAAATATATAGCTATTGATTTCCTAATTATTTGATTCTCCTTTTTAAACTATGAGAATGAACGATCTCAATTTCGCGATGAATCATAGCATATCTTGTTTTCCTTTTCGTAATGGCTAAAAAAAAATATACTCAAAACTCAATTCTTATAGCTGGTATCTTCTTATCTTCTTCTTGATGATGATCATGTCTTCATCGACCAATCAAATAACTCAATCGGACAAGAACAAAAATTAGGCAAAAGTGACGAAAGGAGAAGATCCTCAAGGAATAATGTTTCGATGAGCAAATTCAAAAGTGTGAAAGGTTGTTTTGAGGCAAATTGGTGGGGTGTACAAAGGAATTTTTTTTGGTGACTTGAGGCATTCTTGTTGCAAAACGCTTAATGAGCTTTATGAAAATTGTCGGCCCACTTTCTTAATAAGAGATAAACATTTGCATCAAACTGAATCAAACTGCTGACGTAAAAAGAACAAAAGAAATAACACCGCTGAGGTAAGTTTTATGATTATGATAGTTGGACTCTTGCCAACGCAACGATCTACAGTAAAACCTCTATAAAACAATAATGTTGGGACTTTGAAAATTTATTATCTTATCGAGTTATTGTTTTATCGATAAAATAATAAAATTATATATTCTATAAAAAACAAGAAACTTTATAGAAATATATGTAAGTAGGTACACGTAAGGAATCAATTGTGGCTTCGAAAACTCTTCACAACTTTTGCCCCAGAAATTGTTGATGCAATAAGAAAAATTCGAGATGAGCTCCAACGAGAATCCAACTTTCATAAAAGACAAACTACATTGGAGTCATATTTTACTAAATTGCCTTAGATATATATGCCTTAGTTTTATAATTATTGTCTTAGCCTATTGTTGGGACTATATTTTTACATAGGAGTTTCAAAAATATTATTGTCTTATCATCTTATCGCATTATGCTATTTTTTACATTGGCCCGAGTTGGGACCGGAGAAATTTATTATCTTATAGTGTTTATTGTTTTATCGAGTATTGTTTTATAGAGGTTCTACTATAGAGGAAACTAATTTGTATTCCATCTCTTGTATGACACGTCACAAAATTGATCAAGTACAAATTACTCTTTCGTTACTATGATCGTTTGACGATCTAATAAATGGACAATAAAACATAATACGTACATTTTATGCAATCTAAGGATTGTCGTGGTACGATCATATGTTGGTGGACTATCGCAATCACAAGCAAAAAAAAAAACAATTTTGCTCCAAACAGATTTAATATTATTTTCACCTTGATCGCGCAAGGTTATATGAAGATATATATTTTTTGTTCCCACGACCAAAAGTAAGATACTTAATTTAAATTTTATGAAAAGGTATCAATTGGAGGATAAATGTTATTAATCTACTGTTAATTATATATGTTAAATCAAAACGATAAGTGTGGTCTTTATTTAAGTTCCCATGTATTCGCATATTCTTTGGTTGATAAGACATTTTAAGCATATTCTCTTTTATATCCCTTGCATTAGCGTGTGTTGTATTATTTTGGTTGACAATTTTCATTTCATGTTTCATGTGTGTTTAGAAGTCACAAGTAAGTCTCATATCTTTATTTACCTCCAAGAAAATGACTATTCAAAAAGAAGAAGAAGAAAAATGAAATAGGAGAGAAAGAGAAAACATGTTTAAAGGTTAAGTGACTTCAATTTCAAATAAGAAATCAATCAATCGGGTGAGAATGTCATAAAACGGAAAAGACCGTACACCAAATCTAGTTTGTTAAAGAGAAAAAAAAAAAACTAAAAGTTACAAATTTTGTTTTATCATATAAACCAAATTCCAATTTTTAAATTACAAAAATACCAGCCTTACCAAAAATGATCATTTTCCACTCTTAACTATCCTAACAAAATGGGTAAAATTTTCATATTCCTACTACTTTATTTTGCTAGTTGACGTTATACCAATTCAATTGGTAGTAATCATGACGTGCGTATATATGATTTGCCGTTTACTTCCTCATCAAAAACTCCTTTTTTTCTTTCAAAATCTTCAATACCAGGAAAAGAACCTCTAGCCAAACTTTGCTTGACTTTACGTACGTACTCTAGAGCTAGGAAAAGAATGTGCAAGGAATGTGTAAATCAAGTTCATGCTCATCTGTCGCCACAGATCCATTTAGGCTTATGGGTCATCTGGAGAGAGTGAAATAACTTAATCCTTCTCCCTGATTCAACAACAGACACAATCTAAAAACAGTTGGATGCTGATGGTTTTCTTTCACCAATCATCGCTTGAAGCTCCTTCATAACGCCAGCCGTTTTAGCATTTAATCTGAATCCTTTTTCATTCATCTCCTTCTGAATTCTCATAGCTGATTCCCACTCCAATCTATTGAGGCAGAAGGAGCGTAGAAACTCATTATACTCTTCAGAAATAGCAATCTCCTTCAGCCGAATTTGTCAAAATACTTCAAAAGCCTGAGAGCTTCAGCGTATTCTTCAACCTTGCAATAGCCCCAGATCAGTATGTGATATGTGAGAGGGCTGAGCTTCTCGTGAGTCGCAAATGCAGCTCTTAAGATATCTTCAGTCTCCTTCATCAGCGTAACTAGAGCTCATTGGAAAATTGAAAAAAAATATATATATGAAAAATACAAGGAATTTCGGGAAAATGCAAGAAATTTTCCTAAGAAAATTGGTGGCCATCATCATATTTCTTGCATTTTATTTATTCATAAATCTTTTCAATTTTCTGGTTTAATAAGATTTTAGGTGTATAATTTTTAGTCACAAACTTCCCGTTCCCGTTAATACCCAAATGCTCATAAGCTACACCAAATTCAGCGTCCTCAATATCTTCCCAAGTTCTTACTCCGGCAAAAATGGAAAGAATTGCGGAGATCACAGGAGAACGTTATACTGCGATTCGTGAGCGCCAGGAGTTGAGAAATCGCCAAGAGACACTCGATCGTGCTCATTACTTGTCCAACCATAAGGTCACAAACGACACCGTTTTGGGTGGATTCCAAGTTCCGCGCCAAGGTAACCGTTATTAAACCAAATTTAAAATGTAACTCATTCTTTTTTTGACTCTCTCTCTATATATCTATAACTCGATGAATATGAAATATAATCCAACGACCAAATTTGAAGTATGGAGCAAACAGCCTCATTAAGTGGAAGTTTTAAGGGAAAAAAAAGTGGGTGGCTGATTTATGGGTATAATGTCGCTTCAGTCCATTTCTAGGCTTGTGTTATGACTTATGACGCATGACAAGATGCAGTCTTATAGGGATCGTTTCTTTGTCTGGTTTAGATGATGAATAAATTGAAATAGTGAACCGGAATTATCCTGTTAGCAAACCCGAAGGACACAGTAATAGTGGAACTTAGCTTCGCTCGGCTAAAAAACTACCACTTCAGAAAGAACAACTGAAGAAGTCAGATGTTTTTCGCTTATTTACAAACAAAAAAAAATGGAAAGAAAATGGTGGAGGAGGCGGGCAGCAGGAGTGGCTCATCAACTTCTCCGATCAAAACAATCGTCGTTTTGGTCCAAGCCATGAAAAATATATATCTTATACTTCTACAGTCTGCTCTCTTTTAAGAAAAAATAATACATGCTGAAACGTTTTTTGTTTTAAAAACAAAAAAATAGGGATAATACATTCTGAATAAAGTATTTTTTTGTGTAGCAAGTTATTAGTCAACACCTAACAATATTTATTTCGTCGTCGGCCGAAACCTATAATTCATCTACTCCACTAACTATATAATGATGAAGTTATTGGTATAATAATTTAAACCAAATTATCACTCATCTGAATAATTTTTCTCTTAATATCAATGTTACAAAGACTAGCACCTACCTCCAATTCTCCATATACATATCCGATTTAAATAATAATACAATATTTTAAATTGGAGGTAGGTGCTAGTCTTTGTAACATTGATATTAAGAGAAAAATATATTCACATTCTTTGATCGTCATTTACAACTTGAATTTTATAAATAGCGTAATAACGTCCACATAAAAAAATGACATGTTACTAATTTTTAAAAGCCTATCAGACAGAAACGAAAATTTCGATTAACGTTTTTCTTCTGCACTTATAAAGAAAGATAATAGTAAAAAGAGTAATTTTCCTGCCACCTCACCGACCGTGAGAAAGATACAAATGCCATATATAGTACCCAAAATCACCAAGTTAAACTAATTATACAGCCGATATGGAAATAAATAATATAGTACACATAACGTTAAGAAACCATTAATGTAATTAATCATGTAAATAAATAAATTGGATACATCTGACTTGTATCTAAAAAGCTATCATTTCGTTCGACGGACACATCTACTTCAAAGAGAGAGAAAACAACAGAAGAAGTGGGAAGAAGTCAGATTCTTTTTTGCTTTCATACAAAAAAAAAAGGAAAGAAAATGGTGGAGGAAACGGGCATCGCCGGTGTCTCATCATCTTCTCCGATCAAAACCATCGTCGTTTTGGTCCAAGAGAACAGGTCATTCGACCATATGCTCGGTTGGTTCAAGGAGCTAAACCCGGAAATCGATGGAGTATCCGAATCCGAACCAAGATCCAACCCTATTTCTACATCCGACCCGGACTCTGCTCAAGTCTTCTTCGGCAAAGAATCTCAGAACATTGATCCTGATCCCGGTCACTCCTTCCAGGTATACCTCCGGTTCGCACAAGTTCTTGATCAAACAGGTGTAAGGTTTCGAATAGGACACTCTTAAACCGGCAAGAAATTATATTAATTTTTCTTGGAATTCTCAGGCTATCTACGAGCAAGTGTTCGGAAAACCGTTCAGCGAGGAGAGCCCGTACCCGGAACCGAAGATGAACGGGTTCGTACAAAACGCCGAGGCGATAACAAAAGGTATGTCGGAGAAAGTCGTGATGCAGGGGTTTCCGCCGGAGAGACTTCCCGTGTTCAAGGAGCTAGTTCAAGAATTCGCCGTCTGCGATCGGTGGTTCTCGTCGTTGCCCTCGTCGACGCAGCCTAATCGTCTCTATGTTCATGCGGCGACATCAAACGGTGCGTTTAGCAACGACACTAACACGCTCGTCCGTGGGTTCCCTCAGAAGACAGTGTTCGAGTCACTTGAAGAGAGTGGCTTCACGTTTGGGATTTATTACCAATCTTTTCCTAATTGCCTCTTTTACAGGTAACTTCTCCTATCAATTATGAGAAAATAATACCATAAGTTTGTTTAACGCTAATATACAAGTCATGTTACGAATTTTGACCGTAGGATAATTAGGACAATATAATATTGTATGGAAAGAAAAGAAATGATAACGACGGACCGACAAGCTCTGGTGACACCTGGATTGCAATATATGTATAGTGAAAGAGGAATTAAAAAAATTCTCGATGATTGATTTCTTTTTAAAAATGTTTCCCGTAATGATCGCGTAAATACCTGCTTTAGATAAAGACAACGTGGCTGGAATCTTTCTATTTGTAGTTTATACAATGAAGTGGAGTATTAAACTTGGGTTTGATACTTTTAAATTTCAGTCGATCGGATCACACTAATCAGAGATTCGATTTTGAAAAGAAAAACATATCATAATTGGGTTTTGCATGTGGCAGTCCAAGGAATAAGTTGTGTCCATTTATAATACTTTGTTTTTTTTGTTTTTGTAATTACTGACTACTGAGGAACAAAACGAGTTGTGAAGTCATGTAAAAGTAATAATTAATTCAAAGCAGCAAGAATAATATTTGTGTCAAAATTCAATAAGGAACATGAGGAAATTGAAGTACGTGGACAACTTCCATCAATACCACTTAAGCTTCAAGAGACATTGCAAAGAAGCGAAGCTTCCAAACTATGTAGTCATAGAACCAAGATACTTCAATGTTTTGTCGGCTCCAGCCAATGATGACCACCCCAAAAACGATGTCGTGGAGGGCCAAAACCTAGTAAAGGAGATCTACGAAGCCTTAAGAGCTAGCCCTCAATGGAACGAGATTCTCTTCGTTGTTGTTTATGATGAGCATGGTGGTTACTATGACCATGTCCCCACTCCAGTCATTGGTGTCCCAAATCCTGATGGTCTTGTTGGTCCACCGCCGTATAACTTTAAGTTTGACCGGCTTGGCGTTAGGGTTCCTGCTTTGCTGATCTCACCTTGGATCGTACCCGGAACCGGTACGTACGCTTTTTCATTTAAATTAGGTTGTGTTGTGTTATCTTAATGTGGAATTATCATGTTTCATTGTCTCTTAGCATTATTGTGTAGTGTTACACGAGCCAAACGGACCAGAACCAACGTCACAGTATGAGCATTCATCAATTCCGGCAACACTGAAAAAGATATTCAACCTCAAGAGCTTTCTTACGAAACGTGACGAATGGGCCGGAACACTTGATGCTGTCATCAACCGGACCACCCCCAGAACCGACTGCCCTGGTAACTACCGATTTATAGTCGGTTATAGTCCATCGTAGAAACAAAATATGCTCATTTCATAATACATTTCTTGCTCGATTCTTTCAGTAACGTTACCGGAACTTCCAAGGGCAAGAGACATAGACATTGGAACACAAGAAGAGGACGAAGATCTCACTGATTTTCAAATCGAGCTGATTCAAGCAGCGGCTGTTATAAAAGGAGATCATATCAAAGACATATACCCGTTGAAGCTCGCTGAAAACATGAAGGTTTTGGATGCGGCTAAGTACGTAGAAGAAGCTTTCACTAGATTCTATGGTGAGTCCAAGAAGGCTAAAGAGAGAGGTCGTGATGAACATGAGATCGTTGATCTTTCCAAAAGATCTACTCGTCACTCTGATCCGAAATCGTTTCTTCAGAAGTTTTTCTCTTGTTTGATTTGTGATAATTGAACTACCGTCACAAGAGATTTCCGGTATTTACTTTTCCGGATTTTATCTAAAGTCACTACAAGAAATCGGTAGATAGCATCACTTATTTAGTGTCAAAAATTTAAGTGATTCTAATTAGCATCATTTATTAAAGATTGACATTAAATTTATGATTTTGCATCACTTAAAATAATTGATATCAATATTAACTTAATTAACATCAATTAAATTAAAAATGATACAAGTGAATATTGATTTACATCATTTTTTAAAAACTGACACAAATATATGTGTTTACATCATTTACATAACTGAAGCATTTTCTCAGTTACTAGCATCAATAATAAATGATGTTAATATTTACTTCAGTTATAAAAAGTGATGCAAACAAAATTTTGAGTAAACAACTATTTGTCCCACATCGCTAAACAAAGATGAAGGATAGTAGTTTGCTCATCTATATAATAACTTCACCCATATAATTTTTATTTTTATATAAGTTAAATCATAAATATGTATTTACATATATTATATAATAATAATTACAAAAATATTAATAATTTCGAATTTAGTATTTTATTGAAAATAATACGAAATTTAAAATTTACATAATTTTTAGTGTCACTTATTTTTAATTGATATAATAATATTATCAACTAAAATATATGATATAATTAAATATATATAATATCAATTGTTATAACCGACATATATTAACATCATTTATATTAAATGATTCAATTGTTTATTTCATTTATATTAAGTGATACAAATGTTTACCTCATTTACTATAAATGATACTATACATTAACATCATTTGCAAAAATGATGAAACTAGTTGCATCATTTGTTTTTAGCATCACAAAGCATTAGAGTCACCACTTTCAAAATCATTTATATAAATGATGCAAATTCATTTATATCAATCAATAAATGACACAAACTAAGAAAATAAATGACATTACACACCTAATTTCTTGTAGTGAGTGTGTATGAACTATTATTTTTGTTTCTTTTTGAAACATGTTTTATATAAATTTTCCACGACATCGTTTATTATGTGCACTGTGCACGATGACCATCGTGTTGTGATACCATTATCATCACAATCACAATCAGAAGTACCACATGCTGCTCCTAAGTTATTCTCTTGCTTTGTTTGTCATGACTGATTTATTAGAGTATAAAATAAAATCAAATTAGACAAATCTAAAGCTCTTTTTGTTGTTGTTGTGTGAGCGAATAATCCTTAATGTGATGAATGTTGTGCTGTTTTGTTGAAAAAAAGTAAAAACCCTAATATCTCTTGCATAATGTTTTTTTTGTTTGGTTAAGAACTTGCACCATTATTTGTGTTTTTCATTCCCTTTTTTCTTTAGCAAAAACAAATTGCAGGTGCAATAGAAACTCTATAAAATTGATATTCAATAAATTAATAAACTTTATAAAATAATAATTTTATAGATAATAATATTTCTGAAATTCCTATGTAAATATATGGTCTCATTAATATCATAAATTAATAATTACCATAAGTAATCTTATGTATATATCTATGATAATATACTAAAATATAAATATAATTTTCACTTTTTTATTAGAACTCAATATATTCAGAATTCATCCCTAATTTTTATACAAAATATAATAAACTTTTTCAAAATTATTAATTTAATTTAATTTAATTAATTATTAATAAAAGATTATTTTATCAGAATAATGATAAATTGATAATTAATAACTCTCTAAATTAATAAAATCTCAAAATCTCAACTTTACTAATTTATAGATTTTTTACTGTATTTGTTGTATCTTTTAACAAATTAATTGCACCTTGGTTCCCTTAGTATCACACCCTTTATATAGTTGTCATTTCGAGTCAAACAGAGAGAAAACAACTAAACGAGTCAAGGATTTTTATTCGTTTTTCAAATAAGGAAATGGTGGAGGAGACGAGCATCGGCGGTGGCTCACCATCTTCTCCGATCAAAACCATCGTTGTTTTGGTCCAGGAGAACAGGTCGTTCGACCATATGCTCGGTTGGTTCAAGGAGCTTAACCCGGAGATCGATGGAGTATCCGAATCCGAACCAAGATCCAACCCGGTTTCCACAACCGACCCGGACTCTGCTCAAGTCTTCTTCGGCAAGGAATCTCAGAACATTGATCCTGATCCCGGTCACTTCTTCGAGGTACATTCCTCCGGTTTAGTTCCGGTTCACAAAAATCCTTGGGATACTCTCGGCTGGTGATTTTAAATTTCCTTCTTTGTAATTGTAACAACCAATTTGGTTAAATCAAATAATCGGTTTATTTTGGAGTTCTCGGTTTTGCTAACCATTCTTTAACCGGTAAGCGATACCTATGTTCTTGGAATCTCAGCATATCTACGAGCAAGTGTTCGGAAAAACGTTAAGCGACGAGAGACCATACCCGGAACCGAAGATGAACGGGTTCGTGCAAAACGCAGAGGCGATAACAAAAGGTATGTCGGAGAAAGTCGTGATGCAGGGGTTTCCACCGGAGAGACTTCCCGTGTTCAAGGAGCTAGTTCAAGAATTCGCCGTTTGCGATCGGTGGTTCTCGTCGGTTCCGGCGGCGACACAGCCTAATCGTCTCTACGTCCACGCGGCGACATCGAACGGTGCGGTGACTAACGACACTAGCACACTCGTCCGTGGGTTTCCTCAGAAGACAGTGTTCGAGTCACTTGAAGAGAGTGGCTTCACATTTGGGATTTATTACCAATCCTTTCCTAATTGCCTCTTTTACAGGTAAGTTCTTCTATCCGTTATGAAAGTCAGAGTTACGATTCGTGACTAACAAGTAACAAGTTGTACGTGTCCATTTATAATTCTTTTTGTTGCTCACTAAAAAATAAAAATAAAATGATTAGTTAAACCATTTTAGAGTCGTGGAAATGTAAATAATTCAATCAGTAAAACTAAAATATTTATATTCAATTAGGAACATGAGGAAATTGAAGTATGTGGACAACTTCCATCATTACAATTTAAGCTTCAAGAGACATTGCAAAGAAGGGAAGCTTCCAAACTATGTGGTCATAGAACCAAGATACTTCAAGGTTTTGTCGGCTCCAGCCAATGACGACCATCCCAAAAACGATGTCGTTGAGGGCCAAAACCTAGTCAAGGAGATCTATGAAGCCTTAAGAGCGAGCCCTCAATGGAACGAGATTCTCTTCGTTGTTGTTTATGATGAACATGGTGGTTACTATGACCATGTCCCTACTCCAGTCATTGGTGTCCCAAATCCTGATGGTCTTGTTGCCCCCCCACCGTATAACTTTAAGTTTGACCGGCTTGGCGTTAGGGTTCCTGCTTTGCTGATCTCACCTTGGATCGAACCTGGAACCGGTACGTCCGTTTATTTATTGGGTTGTGTTGTCGTAGTTTAGTGTGGAATTATCATATGTTTAATTGTCTCAACGCGCTCGTTATTCGTTACATGATTGTGCATGTAGTGTTACACGAGCCAAACGGACCAGAGCCAACGTCACAGTATGAGCATTCATCAATTCCGGCAACACTGAAAAAGATATTCAACCTTAAGAGCTTTCTTACTAAGCGTGACGAATGGGCCGGAACACTCGATGCTGTCATCAACCGGACCAGCCCCAGAACCGATTGCCCTGGTAAGTGGTAACCACCGGTTATATAGTCGGTTATAGTCCAAAGTAGAACCAAAATGTAGTTTTATTTTATGAATACATTTTTTGCTTGATTCTTTCAGTAACGTTACCGGAACTTCCGAGGGCAAGAGACGTAGACTTTGGAACACAACAAGAAGACGAAGATCTCACTGATTTTCAAATCGAGCTGATTCAAGCAGCGGCTGTTATAAAAGGAGACCATATCAAAGACATTTACCCGTTGAAGCTCGCTGAAAACATGAAGGTTTTTGATGGGGCTAAGTACGTAGAAGAAGCTTTCACTAGATTCCATGGTGAGTCTAAGAAGGCTAAAGAGGGAGGTCGTGATGAACATGAGATCGTTGATCTTTCTAAAAGATCTACTCGTCACTCTGATCCGAGATCTTTTCTTCAGAAGTTTTTCTCTTGCTTGATTTGTGATAATTGAACTAGAGTCACAAGAGATCTTGCGGTAGTATTTTTCCGGATTTTAAGTTAAAGAGTGCATGACCTATTTTTGTTTTTGTTTATGTTTCTGAATACATATTTTATAGACATTTTCAATTCACATACCACATTCGAACTTGGTTTTAGGATATAGATTGCTGATCAAGGAAAAACGAAGAAAGTTCAAAGTTTTAAATAAAACAAAAGTCAAAAACAGAGGAAGAAACAGAACAAAAGGCAGAAACAGAGGATTTGCCAAAAACATAGGAAGAAACAGAACAAACGATTAAAACAGAACAAAATTCAAACTATAACAAAACAAGAACAGATGGTGTTGTTGTTATTTGTAGCGATGATAAGTCTTCTTCCTCTTCTTGATGTGACAATCGCAAGCATCCACAGTGGAAGAAGTCATACAACCAAACTTCCTCTTCACTTCTCTCCACACACTTACCTTCTTCTCTTTCAACTTCTTCTCAGCGCAATGAGCAATACATTCTAGATTCTCAAACTTTCTCTTCTTTCTGTAATCAGATTCGATGTCGAGCCTCAACAGCTTCTTATTCATATTATCAATTTCATCATCGTCTTCTTCACTTGCCTCCTCTGTTTTCTCTTCTACACCTTTCATTTCTCTGTCCACCTTATCGCGAATCTGCTTCTGAGAGAAGAACAAAACTTGCACAACAATCCTCAGTGGAAGCTTCTCGTTCTTTGAAGCATGTTCACAAGCCTCAGACGAAAGCTTTTTACATTCAAGAACTCTACAAACTTCCATCTTCTCCGATTCAATCAAACCTCTATGCCTCTCCAAGAAAACGTCAACTGCTCTGTATATTCCATCAGAGTATCTCAAGAAATCGCAAGACGCAGCAACCGCTATTTCTCCCAACGCCTTAAACGTTTCTACTCTTAAACTATGCTTACTCGCAGCAGCCTCAAACAGAAACTCTTCCAACATTCTTGCTACAATCACACACCGTGAAACATCCGAGACATTGTAGTTACTGTAAAAGCTCTTGAGAATGGTTTTCAAGAGCTCAATGTCAAATGATCCATCTTCTTCTGATGAGAGGATCATAAGATCTTTCGCTGTAGCCATATCCAGCTGTTTACTGATCCTATCTTCAAACCCTTTTCGACAATCAGAGCAAGCATCCAAGAAAATCGATTCTTTAAGGGATTTGAACAAGAATCCACACGAGACAGCTCCTCTTTCGTGAGGCAAAAGCCTCTCAATAGCTTCAATGACTTCTCTCTTGTGCCTTGAAACGCTTTCATCTCCGGAACCTTTCTCGAAAACATGGACTTTCGCGTAGTTACATACCGATGCCACAAGGTTTTCTATCGAGACATTGAGCTTACTCGATTCAAGGATCAAAGATTCATATAACCTAAGAGGTAGTGTAGTCAGATCTTGGAGCAATCTAGGATCGTTGAGAGCTTTTTCGACAAGAGAATCTAAGAAGACTTCAGTGAGACCAAGATCAGCTACCTTGTTCAGAATCTTATCGCTGCAGACGCTAAGAGCTTTCACGGTCTCGTCCCAGCTCAAGAGAACTCGTTGTTCCAAGAAAGTAACTGCCTTGTTAAGCAAGTTATCAGAGCTGTGATCATCATTCATCTCTAGGTAATAAGCCATGCAGAGGACGGAGACGATGTTTTCAGATGAGAATTGCATTTCGTAGCCATAGCAGAATTTAGCCACGAGAAGAAAGGTTCTCGGGTCGATGTCGATGTCTCTGAGGATACAACGCAGTTCATCGATCTTGTTACACTCGAGTAACGTTGTCACTTTCTCTGATTTGTGAGCTAAAGCCTCCTAATCAAAACACCAGACCAAAAAAAAATCAAAAGAATGATTAATCTAGGTTAAATAGAATTCAGAAGCTTACTTTGCGAAGATGAAATGGGACGTCTTTCACGTAGAGTTTAAGATCTGGTGACTTTGACTTTCTACAAACGATGAAACATTAGGGTTGCTAATGATTTCCCGTAAAATTAACTTGAATGAGTGAATGGTAAGAAGTTAAAATCCATACCTGTTCAATGGGTTATTCGAATATCTATCTGACATTTCGTAGTAGTCTTTTTAATGAATCAAGAGATTGTGTATGTTTGCGAGCCCTAGTCTGTGACTGTAACTTGTTGTTGAAGGAACAGAAGCAACAATGGAGAAAAAAACTTAAAAACAAAGCATTCATCAATACTGAAGATCAAGTCAAAAGATAAAACAGAAAAGAAAAGAAATAGAAAAAAAAGAGACGTTAGAAATAAACTGTGGTTCTTGCTGAGATTTAGGATGTACTGTTATGATATTGTGGGATTTTCTCAGAGAAAATGTAAAATATCATGTTCATTGTTTGTTATATTCCTTAGCGATATTTTTGCGTAAATACTAATTAATCTTAGTCAAAACACTTTTTTCTTGATTAGTTTCTTTCGTTTTCCTAATATTATGCTTTATAGTTTCACTCTGACGCGTTGTACACTTGTACATGTATAGATGGAGACAAAGAATTTAACTTGATCGGAGGTTAAAGAAATGACTGATTTTTTTTCATTTTGTATGATAAAAATTTATAATAACTGGACATGATTTGCATAACTTAACAGAATCATAGACATGACATGCAAAAACAAAAAAATCGTTTATTACCACCTTCTTTTATTATTTTGACAGTCAAACAACATAACTGGTTTACACAAGACGAAAATAGAATTAAATACATATTAGTGGTAAAAGAAATAGTTACATCATTTACCAAGTAACATAAACAACAATTAATCAGTGGGAGATGATTTTGGTAGAGAATGAGTTTTGTCCAAAGACATCAACAACAAACAAACAACAGCAGAAGCAGAAGATGATGAGTGTTCTTTGTCTCTTTGTACAGAGACACACACACCATTTACTGGTGTGTAGGCAATTTAGAACCAGGATAAGAGAACAACCTCACAGTGTTTCCATAAGTTAACTCCGCGAGATCTTCTTTCTTCATGTTTGACAGGTTCGCAACATAATCTAGTACCTGTTAATCACGTAAAGGATCAGACAAGAAATGTGTAATTTACAGCTAATTAATCAACAGCAGAAGAAATAATAAGATACCGCAAGAATGTTTGCAGGCTCATTGAGAGTTGGTTTAGGATCCGAAGAACTCTCATCTGATTTTGGTAATCCGTCAGGTGAATCTGTCTCCAATAAGAACCTATCGGAAGGAATCTACACAAGAGACATCAATACTTTAGCTATCCAGAAGTTAAATAGTTAGAGAGGAAAATATATGTTGAATAATTTGAATATATAAACAAACCGATTTCAAAGTGCGCTTTGCGATCTTCTCATCAATGTAAGTGAACCAGCCAGAAAAGGAGAAGAATGCACCAAGCTCTGCAAGTTCAGGGACAACTTCAGCTGTACCATTGAATGAATGAAGAATCACACCCGCAGGAAAAGGCCCTACAGCTCTGTAGATAACATAGTGTTTTTCTCCTTCAACATCTTTGTCAATGCAACTTGTGGATACATACATACAAACAAACTATATTTAGATTATATACCTCATTATCTCGAGGAGATCATCAAATGCATCGATGCAATGAACAGCTACTGGTTTGTTCAGTTCTTTTGCAAGTTCAAGCTGTGGACGGAACACGACAAGCTGGTCTGAGTAATCAATCCCTGCTGCCAAAGGGCTCTTGTCCAAACCAATCTGCCAAAACCAAAAAAAAAACAACAAAATTTTATGAATATGTTATGACATCAAAGCTCTTCGCACACCTTTAAAAGGGTTTCAATATAGACTCCAACATCAAACACAAATACACAATGAGATAAAAATTCCAGAAATGTTTTTTTTTAAAGATAAATCAAGAGAAAAAGGGACCAACTTCTCCAACAGCAGCGGTAGGAGTGGTCTCAAAGAACTTCCTCAATGTGTTAAGCCAATGAGGGCTCCTATCTGCAATAAACCTGAAAGAGAAAAGAAAAAGAATTAACATTTTGATCTGAAACTTTTGGCATTAAATTGAATTGAATATCATCAAATCCATACCAAGGATGGAGTCCAAAGCAAGGAACAACAGAAGGATACATCTCTCCCATCTCTTTCACCAACTCCCAATCTTTCTCAGAGGTTCCATTGACTGCAAAGTTGGAAACACCGACAGCTAAAGCAGCAGATATGATCTCAGAGGTTTTGTCGATGATCCTCTTGTCTTGGAGGTGACAGTGAGCATCAAACAGCTTCATTTCCACCGTTCTTCTTGGATCTGAGAAAATCTATGTGACTTCTTTCTTCTCTTTTGAGGTTCTTGAATGAATGATCTGGAGAGACATATATCTATATATAATAAATGGGATACGTACGCTTATGTTTATAGCTTAACCCCAGAGACATGGTTTCATCAATGATCAACACAGAGCGCTGACTTTTGGAATAGTTTGAGGTTTAAATAACAGAGAATACAAAAAACTCTGATCTGGAATTTCATGAAAATGAAGACTGAAATGGTAAACCTTTGTGAAACAAAATACTTATCGTAAGAGTAGTAATATAAATTTTGTGTGAAACTAAAGTAAGGAAGAAAGACAGCTAACAATCATTATAGATAAACATAGACAGCTCACAATCATTATTAAACACACATACTATATCATTAGCACATGTCTTGAAACATGGGTTAAGCATTTTTTGGGTTTTTAAGTTTTAGTTTTAGTTTTGTGGAATTTTTGAGAAGAAAAAACACTTTTGTAGTATTATTGGAAAAAAAAAACAGTTTTGTGGTATTTTTGGAAAATAAGATTAGTGATGGTAATTTTGGTTTGTGGTATTTTCGAGAATTGCATAAATCGGAAAAACAATAAAATTGAAGGGTGTGATCTCAGCCGTTGGATCGAGTCCCTGAGCTTCACCGTGACTCAAAGAAGTGTCGCATCAATCGCACCGTCTAAACAAGGCAATACCAAAAGGTTTCTTCTTCTGTCAATCAATCAATCTTCCTCTCCTCTCTGAAATTCCCCTTCCCATCTGCGAATTGTTTTGTTTACACACAAAGAGAAGAAGAGAAACGCGCAAAACAAATGGCGAACAATCACACCGATGATGACTTAGACGAGCTTCTCGATAGTAAGTTTTTCACGATTCATCGAACGAATTTTGATAGGCGTTTCCTCGAATTCTGTGTAGTTATTATGCTCCCGCCTATCTACCACGATTGCTGAAAAGTTTCGTCTTTTGAGGTTTTTAATTGAATCGTTAAGAAATTTAGGGTTTCTCTATGGTTTTGTGTCTCAGGCGCATTGGATGACTTCAAAGATCTCAATCTTGCTCAAAGGTTACTCCTTTCTCCTATGTGTTTAGCTCCAAAGTCTCAAACTTTCCACACTAGTTTCGATTTTGCGGACATGAATTGCTCTGTTTATATGTTTTGATTGAGCTTAGAGACATTCAATTCAAAGTTTGAGTTTTTTTGGGAATGTGCTATTGCAGAAATCAGAGGGAAGACGAAGAGGAGAAGGAGAAGAAAGAAGAGTTGTCTCCATTGCCGAGTGGAATTCAAGGACTAGGAATGGGATTACCAGATATGAGAAGCAAGAAGAAAGGAAGGCAGAAAGTTTCGAAAGAGGATCATGTTGCTGAAGCTCTTGACAAGCTCAGGGAACAGACTAGAGAAACTGTCAAAGGATTGGAATCTATTTCTCCCAAGCAGCAGCCGCAGCATCCAGCTTCTGATGTTGATGATGCTTTGGTTGAGGATTTTCTCAAGCAATTCGAGAATCTCTCTGAATCTCAGGTAACCAAATGAGTAAACTTTCTTGTGATGTGTCTTCAGGTTTAGGAGTTGCTTCGTTTTGGTATCTTTGGCTTTGTTGACTCTGCTCTTGTTATTGGTCAGGACTTGGAATCGATTGTTGAAACGATGATGCAACAGCTGTTGTCGAAAGATATACTCCACGAGCCAATGAAAGAGATCGGAGAAAGATATCCGAAATGGTTAGAAGAGAATGAAGGCAGTCTAAGCAAAGAAGACTATGAACGTTATTCAAAACAGCACAAACTAATCAAAGAGCTGAATGCGGTTTACGAGAACGAGCCGGACAATTCATCTAAGATAATGGAGATCATGCAGAAGATGCAAGAGTGTGGACAGCCACCAAATGATATCGTTCAAGAGATGGATCCTGGCTTTGATTTCGCCAGTCTAGGCCAAATGTGAGCTCTTCTCCTTCTTTACATCTCACTTTTTTAGTCTTTTTTTTTATGGATCTTTCTGACCAATGTTTCATGTTTGTATAATCCACAGATCTCCAGAGATGCTCGAGTCCTCACCAAATTGTTGTATCATGTGATGTAACACCTTTACGTAAAACTATATGTTCCGTTCTGATAATATGATTCTGTACGATTGCTATTTCACGCACACACACATACACACAAAAAGAAAGAAATGGCTTGGTAGTGGATAAAAAAAGAACAAACATTAATTGTCCTTTTTGATGAAAGTTGGCCTCATGAGTCCTTGTGGGAAGTGGTCACTGCTCGTTTAGTCACTTTCCTTGTCAACTTATGATTTAAACGCATAACCAGAAAAAATTAGGAGTTTAGTTCCATGTCTCTCTCACTCTAGTTCCTTTCATAACAACGATGATTCGGCCAAAGTTAGAATGAAAAAAAATCATACTACCAAATCAACAACGTGCTCTATTATGTGAGTGTGTATATGAATATATGTGGTTAAAAAAGGGGTGTTTAGTCTATCCTAAAAAGTCTCAAACCATGTCTTTGCAACCATCCTCCACCACTGGTCTCTCGTTCAAGGTTCATCGCCGGCAGCCGGAGCTAGTCACTCCAGCTAAGCCAACGCCACGAGAGCTCAAGCCTCTCTCCGACTTAGACGACCAACAAGGACTTAGATTTCAAATTCCGGTTATCTTTTTCTATAGACCTAACCTTGCAAGTAACCATCATGATCCCGTCGAAGTGATCAGGAGAGCTCTTGCGGAGACGTTGGTTTACTATTACCCGTTCGCTGGTAGGCTCCGCGAGCTTGCGAACCGGAAACTCGCGGTGGACTGTACCGGAGAAGGTGTTCTGTTCATCGAAGCCGATGCTCAAGTGACGTTTGCTGAGTTGGAGGAAGCTGATGCTCTTCTTCCTCCTTTCCCTTTCCTTGAAGAGCTTCTCTTTGATGTGGAAGGTTCCAGTGCCTTGCTTAACACTCCTCTGCTTCTCGCCCAGGTCAGTCCATGCGGCCACGTCTTCAAGTTGTATGAGTTAGTTACTTAGTTTGTTTCGTCTCGTCGTGTGCAGGTCACGTGCTTGAGAGGCGGCGGATTTATCTTCGCCCTCCGTTTCAACCACACCATGTGCGATGGAGCCGGTCTGTCTCTCTTTCTAAGGTCACTGTGCGAGTTGGCGTGTGGACTCCACGCTCCCTCCGTTCCACCGGTTTGGGATCGACATTTGCTAACCGCGAGTGTCCTCTCTCGCGTGACGCACACGCACCGCGAGTACGAAGATCAGTTGGAAACCGATGAGGTGGCCACCGGATATAGTTTGGTTTCTCGGTCTTTCTTTTTCGGTGCGAGAGAGATCTCCGTCATAAGGAAACTCCTCCCAACCGATCTCCACAATACTACGTATGAAGCCTTGACGTCGTTTTTGTGGCGTTGTCGTACCGTTGCGTTGAGACCTGAGCCAAACACGGAGATGAGGCTCACGACCATCGTCAACTCGCGTTCCAAGCTTAGCAACCCGGCGCTGTCCCCTGGTTACTACGGGAACGTGCATGTTATTCCCGTGGCGATAGCGACAGCTAAAGATTTGACGGAGAGACCGCTTGAGTTTGCTTTGAGGCTGATACAAGAGGCCAAGTCGAGCGTGACTGAGGACTACATCCGATCGGTGACTGCTCTAATGGCGACTAGAGGCCGGCCTATGTTTGTGACGGCAGGGAACTATATAATATCGGATTTGAGACATTTTGATTTTGGTAAAGTCGATTTCGGGCCGTGGGGTAAGCCGGTTTACGGTGGAACCGCTAAGGCCGGTATAGCGTTTTTTCCGGGAGTGAGCTTCTACGTGCCGTTCGAGAACAGAAAAGGTGAGAATGGAATCGCTGTGGCGATTAGCTTGCCAGTGACGGCGATGGAGAAATTCGTAGAAGAGGTCGATGGTGTTTTAAATGTGCCCTCGGCAATGTAGTAATGTTTATGAATGCTATTGTATACTAAAAAAGTGTTACATCAAAATAGATTTATATTTGGTTGTTGTATACAAAGCAATAATAAACCTTTTCTTGTATGCATGCAGAGTGTCACTTTTGAAAATTATCCCACCTCTTACCGTTTTGTCAAAAATAAAATAAATTATTCAGACATTGTGAAAAAGGCAAACTCAAATAACTGATTGAAGACACTTTTAGCTACAAACTTACAAAGTAACCGAAGATGTTACGCATTTTGATTCATTACACTATTACACAATTGGAAAAACAAAACCAACCGCAGAAACGTACGTACGTACACGTTATTCCCATTTTTGTCAGTTGTCAACATTCTTTCGACTCCTATGGCTATTTGGGTCCACAAAAGAACAACACATCGAAATCGAATCTCTATTCATATTTAGTTTCATGCAAATTTCTTACAAAACTATAGACAAATAACAATGGAGATCATCACCATCGTCTTCCTCATTGTCATCACTCTCTCCTTCTCCATCTTCCTAATTAAACTCCTCTTCTTCTCCCCATCCCACAAACTTCCACCGGGCCCACCTCGTTTCCCGGTCATCGGAAACATCATCTGGCTTAAGAAAAACAGCTTCTCCGATTTCCAAGGCGTTCTCCGTGACTTAGCCTCCCGTCACGGACCAATCATAACACTCCACGTAGGCTCAAAACCTTCCGTCTGGGTCACCGACAGATCACTCGCTCACGAAGCCCTTGTCCAAAACGGCGCCGTTTTCTCCGACCGTCCTCTCGCTCTCCCCACCACCAGAGTCATCACGAGCAACCAACACGACATCCACTCCTCCGTCTACGGCTCTCTCTGGAGAACCCTCCGCCGGAACCTCACCTCGGAAATCCTCCAACCGGCGCGTGTTAAAGCCCACGCGCCGTCGAGGAAATGGGCTCTCGAGATTCTCGTCGGTCTGTTCGAATCGGAGCAGAGAGAGAAAGGGCATGTCTCCGATGCATTGGATCATCTCCGTCACGCCATGTTCTGTTTATTAGCTCTGATGTGTTTCGGCGAAAAACTGAAGAGAGAAGAAATCAGAGAAATCGAAGAAGCTCAGTACCAAATGCTCACCAGCTACACCAAATTCAGCGTCCTCAACATCTTCCCGAGCCTGACCAAGTTCCTACTCCGGCGAAAATGGAGAGAATTTTTAGATTTGCGGAAATCACAGGAGAACGTCATTCTCCGATTCGTAAACGCCAGGAGCAGAGAAACCGCCGGAGATGTTCTCTGCTACGTCGACACTCTTCTGAATCTAGAGATTCCGACGGAAGAGGAAGAAGAAGGAGGGAAGAAGAGGAAACTGAGCGAATCGGAGATCGTGAGTCTGTGCTCTGAGTTTCTTAACGCAGCGACAGATCCGACTGCGACGGCAATGCAGTGGATCATGGCGGTCATGGTGAAATACCCAGAGATTCAGAGCAAAGTATACGAGGAAATGAAGAGCATCCTCGTCGGAGAAGAGATCAAAGAAGAGGATTTGGTGAAATTGAGTTACCTCAAAGCTGTGATCTTGGAGAGTTTAAGAAGACACCCTCCTGGTCACTACTTGTCTTACCATAAGGTCACAAACGACACCGTTTTGGGTGGCTTCCTCGTTCCCCGCCAAGGTAAAACGTTACTCAACCAAATTTAAACTTGGCTTATTTTGTGTGACTATAGTGCAAGTTTATGTCCATAACCATCATTTTTGTGTGTTGGAAATTGGAATAGGTACAATAAACTTCATGGTAGGAGAAATGGGTCGGGACCCGAAGGTATGGGAGGATCCACTAACGTTCAAGCCAGAGAGGTTTCTAGAGAACGGAGAAGCGCAAGGGTTTGATATGACCGGAACTCGTGAGATCAAGATGATGCCGTTTGGTGCGGGACGGAGGATGTGTCCCGGTTATGGACTTTCGCTGCTTCACCTTGAATATTACGTTGCCAATTTGGTTTGGAAGTTCGAGTGGAAATGTGTTGATGGTGAAGATGTTGATTTATCTGAGAAGCAACAGTTTATCACAATGGTCATGAAACACCCTTTCAAGGCTAATATTTACCCAAGGAAAAATTAAATTTGCTATGCTTTCGTTTTGTAATATCATCAAAAGCCCAATGGGCTTGTTCGTTATCGAATGTTTGATAATAAATTCGGCCTTTGATGGGCTTAGATATAATATTACGATAAAATCAACGCTTTAGCTTGTTTCGTTCATATATTCATGGCGGAGATTTAGGTGAACATTTGGCAAAGATAAACCCTAAAATTTCGAAATTACGGAGGAGAGAGCAATGGAGGAATCGAAGCAGCAGCTCTTGTTTCAGATGCAGCAGCAACAACAGCGTCAACAACAGCTCTTTCTGATGCAGCATTTGCAGAAACAACAACAGCAGCAACAGGCGATGCCGATGTCGATGTCGAGGTTTCCGTCGAACAATCTCGACGCTAATTTCCGTCCGCCGGGATTTATCCAGAACCGACCCGTAAACCCGATTCTTCCGAGCTCTAACCTTAACCCGAATTCCGGCCCTAACCTGTTCCAACAAACCAATAACTTTCAGCAGCAACAGCAGCAGAATGTGAACAGTCAGCAGATGATGATGATGATGATGATGCAGCAGCAACAACAACAGCAGCAGCAGCAGAAATCGATGCGTCCGACGAATCAATTGGAGCTACAATTCGCTTACCAAGACGCTTGGCGTGTCTGTCATCCGGATGTCAAACGACCTTTCGCTTCTCTCGAAGACGCTTGTGAAAGGTTCGTTTTTTCTTCCTTTCACTTTTCCCAATTTCGAATTTTTTCCGCAGAATTGAATTCATTTACAGTATAGTGATATCTTGTAAGAGTGATGGATGATCTCTCTGTGGAGTATTAAGCGTTTTCTGGATTTCATTTCTCATTTCCAATCATAAAGGCGAAAGCTTTTATTTTGGGTGCAAATGTGACATAAAGGCCAAAGCTTTATTACAGTGTTGCTTTTGTTAAATCATCGTTTTTGTAATGCTTATGATGTTTCTCTGTTTCGGTTACAATCTATGCAAGATTGTTGCCTTATCACGTCGCAGCGGATTACGAAGCAGAAGAAGACGACAGGATCCTCGAATCGGACACGACAGGCGAGACAATACCCCGGTGTCAGCAATGGGACAACAACATTGCAGCCAAGGTTGCGGAGTACATGGCTACGTTTGAGAAACAAGCTGAAACATTCAACAAGATAACTCAGAAGAGAAGAAATGGAGAGTTAAGAGGTGAGGAAAGGTTGATGATTGAGCAGGCTTTGATGCAAGACGAAAGGCAAGCATGTTTTGAGGTGAAGTCGGAGTTGGATAGAGAGGTTAAGGCTCAGCAGGAGGCAAGGTTTAGAATGACGGCTTTTGCGGCGGCTCAAGGAGGACAAGTGAAGGCAGAGTCGCACCAGTCTCATCTGGCTTGTAACCCGTTGAGAGCTAATGCGATTGGGAACCATGGAGAACAGAGACGTAACATGAACCCTGATGAGATGATGATGATGATGATGCATGGATGGGGTAATCACAACAACAACAACAATCTCAATGGACAGAGAGAGGAGAAGGAGCCATTAGAAGATTTCTTGAATGATGAAGAGCATGAGAATGGAGAAACTGGTCAACGTGAGAGCTGGCGAGGCAATGGGGAATTTGATTTGAATACTCGGTAAATCGAAAACAAAGATTCTTTTTTCTTTTTTGATGAGTGTAGTTAAAAACAACCTGAAAGTTGATTAGATTATGCTGATGGATGGGAAGTTTACTATTCTTCAACTTTAAATTTTTTTTGCTAATTAACCATATCGATAAAATATCGAGTCAAATCACAAGTAGTTTAGTTTCAATTCTCTTACAAATTAGAGTAACAAAAAAATCTAAACCACAAACCCAAAACCGGGAAATTTTAGATACTAGTAACATCAAACGCCTAAAAATGGAAAAGCATGCACCACGTGACTTCAAAGGCATCAACGAATATCAATTTCTTCTAGCAGCGTGTGCGACTGGGACCATACAACAATATTCCAAAAGGATCTTTTTTACCGTTTTCCAAACGATTCCACTATTCCCAAAATAAATAGAAAACCTTATTAATTATGCATGGGTGATGTGTATACATATATACATAAAAATGGAGGAAGAAATGTAAAATGAATCATTGAAAGTAACCTTATGTTGTGGACGTCTCGTAGGCTATGTCTTCCTCTACGTGGCACATGACAGGTTTGCTCATGTGTCGGCCTCACCATCAAAAAATATTACTTTGTGCGATGGTTTTATGATCTCAGATTCTCAATGAAAATACTGAATATATACAACTATTTTATCATAAAAAAGAGTTTCGCACGCCATTAAATAGGGCGACTCGACTGTTTGTTGTAAAGAAAATAGATATGGAGTATATTAGTTGAATCGAATTATGTATTTGAACGGTAGTATTTTAATTATCTAATGATGTCTGAGTTTAACTAGATCTTTAAAAACTAATCTTACGATCTGAAAACCTGCTGAAAACAGACACTCTTCTTTGCTATGAAAGAGTATATATTTAATACAGACAAAGCAACATAGGATCCTTACTTCAGTGTATTGTCGAACTTTAAAATCTGTGACACCATCATGGTGGCTTCGATTTGAAAGCGTTACAGACCTCACAGACTCACAGTGTTTTAGATCATAAGTTCAGATGGTTTTACCATTTGATTTAATTTTGTTTATTTGACGATTAAGATCACGAAATGAATAGCTAGGAACTAGAACTAAACATCTATAAGAAAATGGATAAACGTAGAATTTCTTGAATTCCTAAATGAAAAAAATCTCTCTCTTGTCAGATTTTAAGATTGTAGAGTTCTATTAGTCAAAACATGTTAATCCAATAATATATTTCTAAAGTATAATATGTACTAAAATATGTAAAATGTCGATAAAATATCTTATCCACATAAGAAAGAATGGAAAAAAACTTAAGAAAACTACATTTATAAGTGCCATTTTCTTAACACGCATTTGGTGCCGTTCCGGTTTAGGAACAACGAAGTCGTATGCAAGAATATGACAATATTTAATGTCATTTAAGAACAATTAAGTCGTAATCGTAGTATATAGGACTATGACAGTCTATTAAAGACACTTTTATACTTCACAAACTTTAGAAATCTTACCTACAACTATTACGAAAGTACACTACAACCTAAAAGTTATAAAGTTTGATTGGTAGAACTACTAAACGAAATCTTAGAAATCAGCCAGGTGAAAACTCGAAACAGATAATTCAGAAAGCTAAAACACGCTTTTGTGATTTATTTTTTTGAAAATGTTGGAACATTTGACAACCTCTAAATTTGCTGGAAAATATTGTTCTTAATTTGACTACTGGTTGGTTATAAACTTATACTCATATGAACTCACCAATTTAGACTATTATTCAACTGTCTATATTGAAAATGATTTTAATTATGTCGCCTTATAAACCGCACAACCAGTCTTATTGTCAGTGTAAGAGAACTAATTTCAATTTTCAAGTAAGATCCATTATTTACAGAACCAAATATCTATGGGAGAAAAAAAGAAAAAAAGGGAGTAAATTCTTGAAGTTAGGAAAAAGAAAAGAGAGAAACAGATGCCAAACTAGAGTGGCATCATCATCTGCTCTCTCCTTATCTCTTAAACACACTTTCAGTAACACTTCTCTCATTGGACCTCTCTCTCTCTCACTCTCTCTCGTGTTTATATATTGTTCCTCCCAGAATCTCCTTTGTTTCCACAAATTGTCTGTAACCATATCTCAGAAAGACCCAATCCTTTTTCTTTTTTCTTTTCAAATCCCCATTAAAACCTTACCTACCCATGAAGTAAAGTAAACTCCTTTCTTATACCAAAGAAACACTCTTTTTTTTCTTTCTCAACTTCATCAGTCTCTCAACACAAGAAGGAAACATGAAGAGAGGACATGTAGAAACGTGGGACCCACCACCACAACCACCGTCTGGTTCTGGTCCTTCAATGGCGGATAACAAGAGTAAGATGGCGGCGGATGATAGCAACATGGATGAGCTTCTCGCTGTTCTTGGCTACAAGGTTCGATCTTCAGAAATGGCTGAAGTAGCACAGAAGCTTGAACAGCTCGAGATGGTCTTGTCTAATGACGATGTTGGTTCTACTGTCTTAAACGACACTGTTCACTATAACCCTTCTGATCTCTCTAGCTGGGTCGAGAGCATGCTCTCCGAGCTCAACAACCCGGCTTCTTCGGATCTCGACCAGACCCGAATTTGCGAAGATTCCGATCTGAGAGCAATTCCGGGACTTTCTGCGTTTCCGGCGGAAGGAGAGGTCGTTGACGAGGAAGCTAGCAGCAAAAGGATCCGACTTGGACCAGTCGGATCCTGGTGCGATGCGGCGGGTGAGTCAACTCGGTCTATGGTGCTCGTTGACTCGCAGGAGACTGGAGTTAGACTAGTTCACGCGCTAGTGGCGTGCGCTGAAGCGATTCAGCAGGAGGATCATAACTTAGCCGACGCGCTCGTGAAACGCGTGGGAACACTCGCGGTTTCTCAAGCCGGAGCTATGGGGAAAGTCGCGACGTATTTCGCCCAGGCCTTGACACGTCGGATTTATCGTGCTTACATGACGACGGAGACGGACTTCTCAGGTGGTTCCGCGGTGGGCCCATCCTTCGAAGAGGTTTTGCAGATGCACTTTTACGAGTCCTGCCCTTACCTGAAATTCGCTCATTTCACGGTGAATCAAGCGATTCTAGAAGCTGTCACGACGGCGCGTAGAGTTCACGTAATCGATCTTGGGCTTAATCAAGGGATGCAGTGGCCGGCTTTGATGCAAGCTTTAGCGGTGAGACCCGGTGGACCTCCGTCGTTTCGTCTCACCGGAATCGGACCTCCACAGACGGAGAATTCGGATTCGCTTCAGCAATTAGGATGGAAATTAGCTCAATTCGCTCAGGCGGTAGGCGTCGAATTCGAATTCAAGGGATTAGCCGCAGAGACTTTATCGGATCTAGAACCCGGAATGTTTGAGACCCGACCCGAATCAGAAACCTTAGTGGTCAATTCGGTGTTTGAGCTCCACCGGCTTTTGGCTCGATCCGGTTCGATCGAGAAGCTTCTGGCAACCGTCAAGGCTGTGAAGCCGAGCATCGTGACGGTGGTGGAGCAAGAAGCGAACCACAACGGAATCGTCTTCCTGGATAGGTTCAACGAAGCGCTTCACTACTACTCGAGCTTGTTCGACTCGCTCGAAGACAGTTACAGCTTACCGAGTCAAGACCGAGTTATGTCAGAGGTGTACCTGGGAAGACAGATACTGAACGTGGTGGCGGCGGAAGGATCCGATCGGGTCGAGCGACACGAGACGCTGTCACAGTGGAAAACCCGGATGGGATCCGCAGGGTTTGCTCCGGTTCCTCTCGGATCCAGCGCGTTTAAACAGGCGAGCATGCTCTTATCGCTCTTCGCCGGCGGGGATGGATACAGAGTTGAAGAAAATGACGGTTGCCTTATGCTTGGGTGGCAGACGCGACCATTAATCACCACTTCTGCGTGGAAACTCGGCGGAGCCGCCGTAGAGATGACTCGCTAAAAAACCGGGAAAATAAGGAAAAATGTTTTTAAAAAAAATTAGGAAAAGGGACCGTAACTTTAGTTATGTTTTACTGCTTAACCCCGATGTTTTTTTGTTTTAACCGTTTTGCCTAAATGTTCACATCTTTTATCTTTTGGGACCTTGTGCGCGTATCGTTGAAACATGAAAGTGGAGAGAAGAGAACGGAGTAAATCTTGTCTCGTTGGTTGAGCTAGCTCTTCTTTTTTTCAATAAATGGAAGGATAACGATTCTGTATGTTTTTACTTCACCCAATATATAAATAAAATGTTTTCTTTGTACAAATCAATTTTCAAGTTTGGACCGTTTCATTGATAACATGGGAGGTGAACGTGAGCTTTTCTGAAAAGGCGGATCCAAAACGTACTTTCAGTTTCGAGGACTGATGTCAGCCTTTGTTAAAAGATTTTATCAAAAGTATTTTCGGTACATATTTGTTTTCGAACATTAAAAGAACAAACAGATTGTTCTCTTTCTCTCTCTTTAGGATGTGTTCGATGAGGTAATATAGATGTGAAATTGATCTTGACGTACGTATTCGAGTTTAAGAACAAAAAGAAAAAGATATAAATAAGTGAGGCGATAATTATTCTACTTTTATGAGATCATAAGCCTCAAATTCAATGGTCTTCTACGAAGGAGTTCGTGCATCTAAATTTCTGGATGACTAATCTTCTGAATACGTATAAAATGAACACTATAAAATGCCACAACAACATCACTGAAAGTTTTTTTTAAAGTAAAAGGATTTCTATAGAAATGTACACACAAAAGACTTCTTAACTTACAAAAAGCTTTTTAATTTTTTTGTTTGTTATGGACACTTATGAGTAAAAAGAAACCAGTCACCAAGAACCAAAACGCCGGTACTGGACTGGCATATATCCTTCAATCTTCATCACGAATCAAACCGGGGTTTTTAAGGACGGACAAGTGTCGAAGCACGTTCTTGTAGATGTCTCAAGCTTTTCTCCATGCTAACTTGCACCATCTCAGCTAGCATCTTCTTGGCCTTACCGGATTGATCATCACCGTCTATATGAGAGATCA